TGACACAGTCCAGCACAATCACCACAATCCCCTGACACAGTCCAGTACAATCACCACAATCCCCTGGCACAGTCCAGCACAATCACCACAATCCCCTGACACAGTCCAGTACAATCACCACAAACCCCTGGCACAGTCCAGCACAATCACCACAATCCCCTGGCACAGTCCAGTACAATCACCACAATCCCCCAGGCACAGTCCAGTACAATCACCACAATCCCCTGGCACAGTCCAGTACAATCACCACAATCCCCTGGCACAGTCCAGTACAATCGACACAATCCCCTGACACAGTCCAGTACAATCACCACAATCCCCCGGCACAGTCCAGTACAATCACCACAATCCCCTGGCACAGTCCAGCACAATCACCACAATCCCCTGACACAGTCCAGTACAATCACCACAATCCAATGGCACAGTCCAGCACAATCACCACAATCCCCTGACACAGTCCAGTACAATCACCACAATCCCCCGGGCACAGTCCAGTACAATCACCACAATCCCCTGGCACAGTCCAGTACAATCACCACAATCCCCTGGCACAGTCCAGTACAATCGACACAATCCCCTGACACAGTCCAGTACAATCACCACAATCCCCTGGCACAGTCCAGTACAATCACCACAATCCCCTGGCACAGTCCAGTACAATCACCACAATCCCCTGACACAGTCCAGTACAATCACCACAATCCCCCGGCACAGTCCAGTACAATCACCACAATCCCCTGGCACAGTCCAGTACAATCACCACAATCCCCTGACACAGTCCAGTACAATCACCACAATCCCCTGGCACAGTCCAGTACAATCACCACAATCCCCTGGCACAGTCCAGTACAATCACCACAATCCCCTGACACAGTCCAGTACAATCACCACAATCCCCTGACACAGTCCAGTACAATCACCACAATCCCCTGGCACAGTCCAGTACAATCACCACAATCCCCTGGCACAGTCCAGTACAATCACCACAATCCCCTGGCACAGTCCAGTACAATTACCACAATCCCCTGGCACAGTCCAGTACAATCACCACAATCCCCTGGCACAGTCCAGTACAATCACCACAATCCCCTGACACAGTCCAGTACAATCACCACAATCCCCTGACACAGTCCAGTACAATCAACACAATCCCCTGGCACAGTCCAGTACAATCACCACAATCCCCTGGCACAGTCCAGTACAATCACCACAATCCCCTGGCACAGTCCAGTACAATCACCACAATCCCCTGGCACAGTCCAGTACAATCACCACAATCCCCCGGCACAGTCCAGCACAATCACCACAATCCCCTGACACAGTCCAGTACAATCACCACAATCCCCTGGCACAGTCCAGTACAATCACCACAATCCCCTGACACAGTCCAGTACAATCACCACAATCCCCTGCACAGTCCAGTACAATCACCACAATCCCCTGACACAGTCCAGTACAATCACCACAATCCCCTGACACAGTCCAGTACAATCACCACAATCCCCCGGGCACAGTACAGTACAATCACCACAATCCCCTGGCACAGTCCAGTACAATCACCACAATCCCCTGGCACAGTCCAGTACAATCGACACAATCCCCTGGCACAGTCCAGTACAATCACCACAATCCCCTGGCACAGTCCAGTACAATCACCACAATCCCCTGGCACAGTCCAGTATAATCACCACAATCCCTTGGCACAGTCCAGTACAATCACCACAATCCCCTGACACAGTCCAGTACCATCACCACAATCCCCTGACACAGTCCAGTACAATCACCACAATCCCCTGACACAGTCCAGTACAATCACCACAATCCCCTGGCACAGTCCAGTACAATCACCACAATCCCCCGGCACAGTCCAGTACAATCACCACAATCCCCACAGTCCAGTACAATCACCACAATCCCCTGACACAGTCCAGTACAATCACCACAATCCCCTGACACAGTCCAGTACAATCACCACAATCCTCTGGCACAGTCCAGTACAATCACCACAATCCCCTGACACAGTCCAGTACAATCACCACAATCCTCTGGCACAGTCCAGTACAATCACCACAATCCCCTGACACAGTCCAGTACAATCACCACAATCCCCTGACACAGTCCAGTACAATCACTACAATCCCCTGACACAGTCCAGTACAATCACCACAATCCCCTGACACAGTCCAGTACAATCACCACAATCCCCTGACACAGTCCAGTACAATCACTACAATCCCCTGACACAGTCCAGTACAATCACCACAATCCCCTGGCACAGTCCAGTACAATCACCACAATCCCCTTCCACAGTCCAGTACAATCACCACAATCCCCTGACACAGTCCAGTATAATCACCACAATCCCCTGGCACAGTCCAGTACAATCACCACAATCCCCTGACACAGTCCAGTACAATCACCACAATCCCCTGACACAGTCCAGTACAATCACTACAATCCCCTGACACAGTCCAGTACAATCACCACAATCCCCTGGCAC